AATGTAAGTATTTGGTATTGAAATGTTAAATATTTTAGTTATATATATCAATATCAAAAAATAATCACATTCGATTAAATATGGTAGTTTGGTAGCACTGTTTTTCTCTGTGGATACTTGTTTACCACATAAACTCAATATGAACATGATTTTCATCATTATATTATATTAAAAATATTCATAAAAAATTAGAAGATATAATTTGAATTTTACTCTGTACAGTCTGTTGTAATCTAAATTGTTTCCGTAAACATTTTTAAAAAAATTATTAATTTTACATTTGAGTATTAACCGAATGAGTCAATAAGGAAAAGACCCAAAAAACCACAAACTAAATTTTTTTCTTCAAAAATAAGGATATAAATATGTAGTTCTTTGCTTATTGTAATAATCTTGGTACCTATACTCTGTCTCTAAAGAGAATGATCACTTTTTTTGAATTGTGATTGATTTAGTAGGTGCATAAAGAATCTCTTGATTATGCCAATGYTAGGAAGTTGGTAGGAAATGCCCAACAATTAGTAAATCTGTTGATCAATTGATTATACTCTTTTGAGACAGAGAATTTGATCCCCTTTACTGGTATAGTGAGTCTAATATGGAATCACATGTAAATCAGGACCTGCTATTTTGAGTCTAATAGACAAATGAATCAATGAAGTACAATAAGAGATGACTGCCAACCACTGCATTTTTTATGATCAGTTGGGCTTAAACAAAATTAAAGAGAGTTGTTTGTACTTCGCTAATTATAAAACTATTTTTAAACTAAATTACAAACATCAATATTTTTTTTAAATATTTAAATCCACAGAATTCGTTAATTTTTTGTTTTCATTTATATATTATTTTATTATATTGATATTCTGTTAGTAAACTCTCCAAGCTTAATGTAAAATTAATATATTCTATCTCTTACATAAAATTAAAAATTGATAATTTATTATGAATGTTATTAAAGATTTAACTGTGGAAAAGCGGAAGCGTATCAAGCTTTAGAAGATATTTATTATCGTGCATGTTATAGTTGTTATTGTGAAGTGATATTATTAGCAAACGCTATTAAAAATTCTTGTCAAGGATATTTTGAAGGTCAGTTTTAGCAAACAGTAATATTGTTTTTTGAATTTTATATGTGATATATTTACTTTTTGTTAACATTTAGGTGGACAATCAGCTAATGTATCTTCAGTAGGTACACCTGTAAGCAATAATACTTGTAGCACACCAGTATCTAAATCAATGATTACAAATGCATCATTTAGAACTAAAAAGTTACCAGGTAATGAATTAAATAAATATATTTCTAAAATTATGTTTAACACAACTATCCAAAATCACGAGGTGGTAATTCATTTAATCCATAGAAAATGGTTGTGTTTGTTATACAATTAACTATTTTTCTGATTTTTTGGATACTTTAAATAAATATTATAAATTATATAATTATATGATGCATTTTAAATGTTTTTTGCGACTAAATCTTTCCTTATTCTGTTTATACATAACTACTTAAGTATTTTACTAATAGTTTAAAGCATTTAAGTTTATGTTTTCTTTTCACTGAGATGTTCTCACTCAATTTTTTAATGGCCTTTTATTTTTGAGTTTTTATTTTATCATTCAAATATATTTAGGAGATTTAGGGCTAATATCAAACCATTTTATTTTCAAACTTATTATTTTAGATGACATTCCAATTCAAAGTATTCAAGGAACTTTTGATGAAAATACTGATGCTGTTGCAAATTTATCGTCAATAACAGAAGAAACTAATGATTCAAAAGATCCAAGTGCTGAATCAGTACCTGTTAAAAGGAGTTTGCCAAAAATTGCTGCCAATTTTGGCAAAAAAACTGCTGAAAAAATAGCTACTGCTGTTAAAAATACAGGAAATATAAAAACTTCAAAGTCAAACACTCAAAACGGTTTAGACATTTATGAAACTGATGAAAGTGGTATTGATCTAGCTGGGTCTGATATATCTGATACTAAAACTGGTTTAGGACATGATGATCGAACAACTATGACACCGCTATTAAATAGAAGAAATCCCAGTATGTCTGTTGAATTAGAATCTTCCAGATCAATTCAGGTTATTATTTTTTTTGTATTATTTTAGTCTACTCATTATCGTTTTATCTGCCTGATGATTATTTAAATTTTTCTTGGAATACATTGTTACATGTACAATATTTTTTAATACATATTTTCAGATGGGTGTAAACGTTAAGTGTTACAAAGAAAGATTCCATTAACTTATAAGTTATAACCCTCATTCTTCACTGTTCGTATTGGTAATACTATTGATGTCGCATAAAAATTAATGTTCTTAAGACATTCGCTATTATTTTATATGTATTTAAGTTGTTGTAGTGCTTAGTATTATTGAATACTAGTTCACCTTTAGTTGCATGAATATTTTTAGTAGTTATGTATTTACTACTTCGTATATTGTATTATTGTACCTTAATTTTTTTTTCTTTTATCATATAATTTAATATTTATTAATACCTACTTTCAATATAATTTCTGATAAATAATCAAAGAAAAACAATACTGATTTATTATAAAAATTGTTCAACTAAACTAATGGGTAGTATAATAATTGTTATTCATTAATTGTTTTTTAACTTGGAAAATTAAGTAAGTAGTCATAAATACAATTTACTGACCATTTTATATTATATTGAATAATTTGGTTCAGTTTATTATTTAACAATTAATAAATATAGTTAGGGCACTTTATTTTACCCATGTAGTATAAATTGTTGTACTGTAGTTATTACTGTAGGTTTATTCAAATATAACACATAGTGGGATACAAAGTAAATATCGGAGTTTCAAGGAGAGCTTTATTGTTAATACTATTCAATATAATCACATAGAATTAATTTGATACATTATTCAATGCAAATTATAATCAATTGTTAATATAATTGAAGCTTGAACAATACAATTTGATTTATGGCATGTTTGAAACATTGAACCATCTATTTCTTAAAAATATATTAATAATGGAATTTAACAATATTTTCTTTCATTTATAATGAAATGTTTTAATCAAAAATAGATATTAAGGTTTTGCATCATAATAAATTGACCATTTTTCGCTAATCACTGAATACTTTAATGATTCAATCATCTTCAGTGTTATAATAAGTTTAGTCTTAGAGCTTTATTTTATCTGTAAAATAAATGATATATATTTTTTAATATAAGTTCTCTGATGTCAAACCATAGTTAAGTGAATAAAATAAATTTGTATTCAACTAAATTGTTTATGTTACAGATGGAGAGTACAGCTTTATGACTTGCAATCAAATAATTTATTATATTGGACAAGGAAATTTGGTTTGGTGTGATTTTCTTTTAATGTATCAAAATTATTTAATAGACCTAGAATTTTATTGTGATAATCAAGATTAAATGTTTATATTATTCTATCTTATACTGTATGTACTTAATTAATTTTTATCTTGTTATTGAAATTGTTAAATTGTTCATAACAAATGTTATTATTTAAATTAAAATCTTCGATTATTTAAAACAAACATTTTTATTTTTTACAGTTAAATGTATTAAGAAATATCAAAAATAGTTACAGTTCTGTTACYAGGGCACAAGCAAGTCACGCGTCACTGAAARGCAACTTTAAAATGTTTGCTTAGAAAAATATTCAAAAACTATGCTGTTTAGCTATATGTATATAATACCTGATTAACTATTTAAAACATAATGTTAGACTACCAGCGCAAACAAATTATTTATCTAAAACTTATTTTTCTCAAGAAATTACTAAGCCATTAACAATTAAGAATTAAAATATTTTCATGATTATTACAATCACACAAACACAGTTAGTTTCATTGAAAAATTAATTTAATTTTTAGTAGTTATACTACTCTGTTTAATACCACTGCAACCATCAGTACATAATATGTTTCTGAATAAACATAGACGTCAGATGCCTATGAGCRTAAATCAGTATATTTTTTCATTGTATAGAAAGTATTACTTTATTAACAGAGTATCTCGTACTTATCAAGTTAATAAATTTACACTATAAATAAATATAAGACTTATAAAAATAATACACCATAAAAATATTTCTATTTCTTTTATTTGTATACAAGGTTCTTAAAAATAATAATAAAATACACGGCTTATTGAAAAACTTATCTAACATTCTCTTTAAATACCAAACTGTGAACTCGTTACACCATATTCCACATTAAGGGATATTTTATGTTTATCACGCTCGGTCATGTTAATTACAACATAAAAAGTGTAAATATTCTAGTCATAATATTGGATGTACTTAAAAAGTATGCTAAAATAATAAGTAGTATTCTTTCTTAGTTGGATACTTATGAATAATAAAAACATGAAAAATTACTTTTAAGGCTTTGTCAAAATAAACTTAATAACAAAAACAAGGTAAATTAAAAATTTTTTTAACTAAATAATTTTAAATGCAAACCAAAAACACAATTTTACATATTTTAAATTTACAGAAAAAGAGTAATGAATATTCAAAAACTGAATATTCAATAACTTTTTATAACTACTACAATTCAACCAAATTTACTATATATTGTAATTTATAATAYATTACTACTAATACTTCTCTCTTAACGCTAGTTGTTAATCCTAAAGATAAATATTCATATCAATTTTTCTATGGTTCTTTGGAAAAAAAAAAAAAAAATCAAATACAATAAAAAATAACTGCCTTTACCAATAAAACAATAACATAAGTAATAAGTAAAATATTGTATGTTATATTTCAGCACATATAAAATAAGTTATTTTTAATAAATAATACTTAGTATGATTTAACATAAATTTATTAATAGTTATTGATATTTAACTAATTTGGAACATAATACTGCATTAAATATGCAAGATAAAAACAGTTACATTTTTATTAGAATATAAATAACTATATTGTTATAGATATATTCATCAAATTAAAAAATTACAATGAAAAATCTACCATAGTTATTTTAAACACTTAAAAAGTCATCTTTAATTTAATGGTTCAAGAAATAAAATTAAAAACAATCAAATTTAGGRTGAAAAGGGGAGGACATGTTTTACTTGACCAATTGGGACAATAAAACCAAAATATTCAACATGRTATTTGATTAATATGAACATAGACTTCTTTAAAACAAGAATATTACAATAATTAATTTATATCTTCTGCTATTGTTACATTATGTAACAAAATTTTTGTGTATTCACATTTGTTGAAGTTTCCTCAGTTTCTTCACCTGCCTCAAAGTTATTTTGTGTGTTATTTTCTTCAATTTTTGCATCATCACTGTTATTTTCACAAACAGTCATCTCGGGTTCTATTGAATTCTCTTTTTCAACTACGATCTCGGCTGTAGAAATATTTGATTTATCTTCACTTATTGAAGTACCATATGTTATTTTTTGAAAAGGATATTTCATCAAGTTCCACAATTTAATTATTTTAGTAGACTTCTGTTCTTGCTCTTCCAAATCTTCAATTTTTCTTTTCCGTTCATTATTTGATACTTCTTTTTCTAGTAATAAAATATCATCCTCAAATGTAGTATCTAAATCCTTAAAAGAATGTAATGGTGCCCTTGCTGATATATTGAAGTAAGGGGCAGGTGACTCAATATTATCTAATTCTAAATCAACATCTTCCAAATCCTGTGAATCATTATCATATAAAGAATCACTTGGAGAATATGGAATATCTAGACTTTTGATAGAATTCACCTGAAAAATAATTTTCTATTTGAGATTTTTCTTTTTGAATAACAAATTAATATAATATCATAAAAGTAAAATAATTGTCAGGTTATGTTATTTAACTTATGAAATATATACCTAATTTAATAAATAAACTGAGTTATACCAATATAGATCACCAAATTAATCTTTATTATAACTTTATTGTAAAGAATATTTAAAACAAATATGAAACTGGTCATCATAAAAAAAGATCAACTGTTTATTATTCAAAAATATACTTAAAACGTGTTTAATCATAGAATGGCCAGTGTTTGAAGTAGCTAAAAATAAGGGAAGTGATGGAAAATATAAATTATAAAAAGTGAAGCGTACTATACTCTCCCTAAAACCACTGTTATACAAAATATATTAAAACATCTGAATCGAAGACAATATTTTGTATGAATAAAATTGTTTTTATTATTTCCTGTATTTTGATAAAATAAGCCGATTACTTGGCATTAATGGTTTGTCAWTTTYTTAAGATATTAAATATAATCTAAAATTATAAAGGAGATGATTTAAATTTTAAAAAATTATTATATTCCATATAATTTTAACATACTTGAATATCTTTTTCACCATTTTTTGCATCGGCTTCATTTGAATTTTCATTAGAAATATCAATAGTTTCTGATTCTCGATCTTCTTGGGTACAAATTGAACCGATAGTAATATTACGATCTGTATCACTATCCATTTCTAAATTTGGTTCTAATGATGATGTATTATCGACATCAAAATTTATACTATCAGTTTTATTGTGGTTTCCATTTAATTCACTGCCATTGGTTTCCACAGATTTATTAAGTTTTTGTTTGTCATCGTCTTTGTCAGTTTTTTTAGATACAACTTTTTTTAAAGTCAACAAATCATCTCCGTTATTAATGAATAAACAACGGGTATCTTTTCCACTCACCACAGCTTCGGTCATTTTCTTTTCTTCTAAAATCAAAAAAACAATTAATCATTTAAATAAGATAATTGAAAATATTCATTCATTTAAAAATTGTTTAACTGGAAAAGCAATTCCTACAGTAAATAACTGATGTCTTCAATCTATCATAAAAAACATGTATAATTAAACAGTTTTATGGTGGATGTAAGAGTTTTTAAAAGGATAGATTTTTTAAATTTAATTTGTTTCAATTTTATAGTTATTTTTTTAAAGAATTAAATGTAGAAATGAATTAGGCATTTTCACCACACATTATATGTCTATGCAATTTTTAACGCTTATAAACAAGTTCGTGCAATATAATAAAATGAAAAAATGAATTCATGGAAGCCTAATGAAAATTAAAAAAGCATAAATAAAACTGCCAAAT